CCCAAAAAATTTTATTTTTCGAGATTTTATATTATAATTTCATTTTGATCTGGATTTCATTATGATCCGCCACATTTATTATCAATTATAATCGATCGACGGTGTTGATGAAGATCGTTTGAAATCCTTAGATTCTAATCGGTCCTAAGTTTAGTAATCAAGTTAGTATTGTAATTTGTAGTACATTCGATGTAATATATTTTATTATCGAAATTACAAAAATTTTTGGGCCTTTTTTGTAGTCCTTTTTTTTTATAATTAGGTTAGAAATTAGGGTTAGTATTTATAATAAAAAAGTATATGTGGATTTTAGTAGCTATTAGGGATTTAAATGAGGACCCCAAATCTCAGCATAAGCCAATCTCATCATAAGCCGCCACAATTAATAAAGATTTCGAGGCCCAGAGGTCGCTTATAAAAAAAAAACAAAAATACAGCAAAATAAAAAAAAAACAAATAAATAAACTTTTTTAAATTTGAATTCTATGGATTCATCATAAGAGCGAAAATTTTTAGTGACTATATAAAATTAAGTGATATATGGATCATAAATTTATTATAATCAGGTCAGTTTGGGATTGTCTAAAAACTGATAAGTAACTGATAAGTAACTGATAAGTAACTCATAAGTGATTAATAAGCAATTTTAAAATCATTACGTAGCGGTAGCAAATAATCACTTTAATCTTAACAATCACACGATATCATATATATATTATTGGTTCAAATTCTATTTAACAAAATTGAAGATTTTCGCTTATATGTAGAATTTTAGATAAAAAAAAAAGTTCATACGTAGAATTTCATGTTAAAAAAGGGTGATCTGCACGAGTGTGAAAAATATTGTAAAAGTATCAGTTCCTTTTTTTAACGAACTTTTTTCTAATAAATCGTCAGCCCGTTATTAAAAAAAAGTTAACTATAAAAATTAATGGATCTTTTGCAGTATAGGTGATACCTACTCTAAATCAATTGATTAATACATTTTATTAATAGTGTCACCTATATTGCAAGAGATCCAAATTAATAAGCTCACACATATTTTGAGCCAATTTTTTTATTATTAGTTTCTTCGTCAGACCTATCGGATACATTCAGGTGATTAACGCAAATCATTGAACAATGTCGGAAAAATATGACGATAAAAATAACTTCACATGGACTATTATATGAATGGAAGGAATGAATAGCCTTGTGTTTCATCGGCATAGGTTTCATCATAATTTTCATTTTCATCAATTCAATAAAGTAAGTTCTATTAATCACATCATTACTGCATTAATTAATGTTGAATGGCATTTGAGTTATACCCTTCTGAATTTTTAATTTTGATTTACAGTACGTATTTTATTTATTTTAAGATCGATATGCATTATCGCCAAAACTGGTTAATTTGTTAGTCGCACTTTCCGAAGACAAGTTAAAAATCTTTATAATAAATCCACATTAAGAAAATATTAAGAAAAATTCTTGTTATAGTCTTGTATACGTAGGACCTTTGCCGGAACCAAACTTCCCCGAAAACCGAAACGGGTTTTTTGATAAAAAAATTTCAGGAGAACATATCCGAGCCCTCGGATTTTGTATAACAGCAAAGATAGCGCTAATGATATTACAACAACACGATATGGTCGAAATAGCTTGATTTTTAATTCTAAATATCCATAGAATAAAAAAAGACTAATTTTACCGAATTTAGTTGATTTTCACGATATCGCTAGTGCTATTTTTGCTGCTATAAACTTCCGAGGGCTCCATACCCGAAATTACTAATCAATCAAAATACTAAATAAACTTGATTATCTCAAAATCATATTTTTTTTTTAGGCTCTTTCTACTATTGTATGTTTTTTTTTTTTTTAAATTGTATTTTTCAATTGATTAAATAATTGATCTGATTTGAATAGGTTTATGTCAAAATCCCAAAACCTAATTGTCACGTCGTGTGGTATCGGACTTCCAATATTCAAACCACTTTTGACTAGTAAACATGCTTACTAATCAAAAGTGTGGAAGTCCGACACCACACGACGTGGCAATTAGGTTTTGGGATTTTGGTGGTTGATGATTTTGGTTAAGATTAAGTGTAACATCTATGAGTTTCCTTTTTGAAATAAATCGAGTGCAAGTTTGCTTAATAACTGGAGTTATTTGGCAAGCCGATCATAGTTGGATGCCGGATCACTTGTTGAGGTCTAGTATATATATTTTCAATTACGTACGTACGTACGTATATGTCACTGATTAGCATTTAAAGACTTAGGTTCAGTAGGAAGCACCATAAATTTTCGAAATAACTGGCATGAACACTTTCGAAAGTCGTTTCTCTAAAATAGTATATTGAGTTTTGGGATAATGCCCATGCGTTTCCCGAAATAACGCGCGCTTTAGAGTAATTCTGCTCATACAGTAGGTTTTTTTAACTTTCATAATAAATACATGCACATAATAACTGTGAAGAATCTTCATGTTATCACGTGCAGACAAATTTTATTATGTTAGTCAATCGTGAAGATTGACTAATGCAATAAAAAAAAAAAACTTGAATATTATCGCTGTAGAAACCTTGCTTATGGTGTAAATGGTGATGATTCTTCAAGATTAGAAAAGTCGATCTGTTGTTCCCATAGGGATGGCTAATTTTTTTAGCGATACTCATTAGATCAATACAAAAAAATATTGAAAGTTAATATTGTGCCTCATATTAATATTGCCGCCCGAGCGTTAGGGTTAAAGTTAAGATCAGGATTAAACTATAGTTTAGGCTGATCTGTTAATTTGGTTAAATAATCATTATGCAGCTGGCATTGACAAAATTACCGTATTTGTCGTATGCTAATGTGATGTGTATTATTGTGATATTGATTTTTATGTGTAAAAAAGAATTGCACACGTAAGTATAGTACGTACGGTACGTACGGTACGTACGCACTTTATTCCGCAAAACACAGTAAAAGCTGTGCCATGTAAAATCTGGATCGTAGAAAATAAGTGTAGCGTAATAAGAGTTCTCTACTAACCAGATTCAAGATTTTGCTGACAGTTTATACATTCCATTTCATTATGCCAAATAATGAAATCTGATTTTTTTGCAATAATTATTTACAATAAAGATTAAATATCAAAGATCAATAAATTCTTTACTTTTTACAGTGAAATATCTCCGAGTATAACCTCTTTAAATGCAACATCTCTCTAAATGCAACTATGACCCCGCTCAAATATACAGAGCAATTTTTCTAATTTGTTCTTAAATGCATGTTATCAAAAACCCAATTAGGAATGGTAAAAAAAAAAAAAGTATTTAAACAATTTTTTTACCGATTTAAAACAGGTGATGATTAAAGTCCGAATAAATAAAACTTTCTTTATCTTTGAATATTGTAATATTTTCAAAATTAAATGCACATGTTTTATGTAATTTTGTTGAATTACAAAACTTATTATTACATTTAAAAATATTTTTAAATATTATTAAATTTAGGGAATTGCTATTTCCACCCCATTTTTACTAATGCCACCTCCCAGATATGTTTTGCAAACTATTTACAAAAAAAAAAAAATATATATATTTTTGTTAGTCTAAGAGAAACGAAGTATAAAACAAATTCAGTTCACTTTCGTTATAGCGAATTGACTTGGCGGAAATCCTGTGTCAGTCCTTAATACTGGTGAACCATATGCGGATTAAAGATCATCCAAAATAATAAGCTACAAAAAAATGGTGTCCAAAACGGAAGCTGCTTAAAATCCCAACAAGGTCAAAACCCCGACAAGTTAATCCACATTAGGGCGTTGGTTATTCCGGTCAATATTTTTTCTGTCTATCTATCGGAGCGTTGGTTATTCCGGTCAATATTTTTACTGTCAATCGGGGGATTTTATATGATCCAAACTATCTAGAAACGCTAAAACATGGAGCAGTTAGGGATGCAAAATTGCGTAATTTGCGTAACTGTAATTTTAAGTAAGTTTCAGTAAATCAGGTAATTTTGAACACATAATTTATCTTTTTGTCATATTGGGAAGCTACAACGAGGATTATCAAACGATGAATTAAAATGTACTGGTCAAAACTTTTTGTAATGCCGGTACTCTAATTTTTCATTAATGCTTTTCTTATCTGACAAACTCATATGAGAAGCAGCACGTGTTCAGTTGCCATGGTTTGCCAATTACCGTTATTCGCCAGTATTGTAGACTGCATACCGCTATTTTTATTATATCGGAAGTTAGTTACAGCCATTAAAGTTTAATGCATAGAGTTTATGAATGAAATAGCTATCAACCCAAAGGATAATGAATCAACTTTCTGCATGGCTTCCTACCCAAGTTTACACAAAGGCACTCAACATGGAGGCATCATTTACGTCATTGCTTTTAGTTCTAAGTGAGTGCAAATTCTTAATAAAATATTCTTTAAATTGAAGGATTTAATTGCAGGGTTTTAATCTACGTTTCTAACGAAATACATGTAAAAGAGTTTACTGTATAAAATTTTTTTTTTTTTTTTAAAAAAAAAAAAAAAAAACATTACTTCTACAATCGATTCTTGATATAGCAAATATTTTGCTATAGATATTAATTTATAACTTCACTATAGATTATCTATAGATTATGAATATAAAGGTTTAAAGGTTCTTATACTTTTTTTTTTTTTATTATTTCACAAACTCGAAATTAATAGTTCCTAAGGTGGTTAAAAAGAAGAAGCAATTACTGTTTTGATTTCAAGTAAATAAGTATCAATTAACAATTAATACAAGAGTGAATTATATATAAAATTTTTTTTTTTGAATATGAATTGCCTAATCATGCTAAAAAAAAAAAAATCGGATTTTTAAATATTGTTTTTATTTAAGATCCCAAAAGAATCTATAAATTAATAAAATAGAGAGAAAAACTCTAGCTTTAAAAAAAAAGGGGAGATCAAGATTACTCTATTATAAAATTGTTCTTAGAAAAAAAAAAAGAGTAAAAAAATCTTACTATATATTTACTTATTAGCTTTAGAAAGCCCAATCCAATACTCATAAGCTTTTTCATAATCAAAAGACTCCCAAGATTCAGGAGCATTAAGGGATAAATGTAAATAATAACTAAGAATATCAGGATTCATTTCATCTCTTATCAAATTTTGACGAGAAAATACACGTTCTACAGTACCATTAGAAATTGGCATAGTAAGAGCAATTTCTATCAATTTTGTTAATTGAGGAAATTGATTCCTAAATTGAAAATTCTGAACCCAAATTTTTTTCCAAGCCTCCATAAATGAATAATTTCGATAACCATGAATTAAATATTTTGCCATTTGCCATTCTCTTATCACACCTTTATTATCAATGATCGGAGGATGATATGTATTGTTAAGAGTAATGGGTTTAGAGATTCCATAAAAGTCTGCAAGAAATTTTACATCAGAGTCACCATAAGTTCTTAAAGATTCTTGATCATCAGGGGATTCGGATGGATCAAGAATACGCATAGCATGATATAGATGTGAAGTTGGAAAATGATTTCGTAAACTTTGAATAATGTTTAATGAAAATTGGACAACGATTCCTTGAATGAAAAATTTTAAAATGTAGAGTTGTTAAACATGAAATTTTTATTTAAACATGGAAAATTTTTTTAAATGATGAAAAAAGAAAATTGAAGAATTACCTGGTAAATCATAATTAGATAAAGAATTTTCATTCATATACATCAATAAATATGTACCATAATTAGGAGTCGAAAATTCCGTGCCAATAAAATTTGTAGTGATAGTTTCAATAACCATATTCAATTGTTTCCTAGTTTCACTTAATGAAACATAATCACTTTGAAACACGTTAATCATTGACATTAAAGTTTCCATAATATCAGCCAAAAATTTTGTAACTATATAGAATTCAGTATCAACTGAATTATATAAAAATTTAGCCATACTAGAGACACCCGATTGAGATTCTAACTCAGTATAAACATCATCAATAATCAAATGAAAGTTTTGAATGACTTGAGCCCAAGAAAGCCAACTTGATTCTTTTTTGTTCAATATGAACAAATCAGGATTGTCTATATTCTCTTCAACGTCTCTTAATTCATACATCCTTCTGTAAGAATCAGAGAAATAAGTGTAAATACCTTTAACTATGTCTTTATACGTTTGAAAATATGGAATATCTTTTGTTGCATCATCTATAGCCATGTGAACACGGT